CCCATTTCTGTTACATACCCTTAAGAGATTTATGTTGTTATAGCAAACAACAATTGTCACCCAAATATAATCATCCTCAAATATCAGTTTTCATTAGATCATTTGCCTCTATGCCAGGCAAAAGTAGAGAGTTTAAAATTAAGTGTTTTCAGTTCTTTTGTCCTCTTATCCCCTCTCTGTTCTTCCTACATTCACTCATCCATTACAACAAATTTTCAAAGTAACACATCAAACATGAACTGAAATCATAAAAATTATTACAGTGAAAGGTTCTTACATGAAAAGTAAGAGCTGCAGGAGCAGCACAGCACAGTTTTCAAACACAAACTTATTTATTTAGACTTTCGTGCAACTATCACTGGGAAATAACACTCAGTTGGAAACTTACCAGTTCAGACTTGAAATATCCTATTGTGTTTTCATCTAACTGAAAGTATCTTCTCTTCCAGTTCTTCATCTGGTAAATAAATAAACATTTATACATTTTCTATATAAAACATACTTACATGTCATATATTATTCATACATTTATTTAATTATATTTAATGTTTTCATTTATAGTCATAGTATGATCTTGTATAATTCCTGTTTATAATATTAATTTATAATAATGAATTCATTATAATGATTATAAATTTCGTGTTTTAATACATGTGATGTGTATACATAGTGTCCCCAAGAAAACTATGCAATACTCTGCCCAATTCATCTTTTGAAAATGCAAAAATTAACAATTCTGCAAGCTACTACTTTCTATTATAAGTTCTTTTCAAACTGTAGTAACTCAGAAACAAAAATACCCTAGAGGAAACATGAAAAGACAATCCATTACAGGTTTCTAGGGGTTTTTTTAACTAAAAAAAGGAATATCATAAAAAAAAGCTTCATAATGCAAGAGAAAATGAGTCTGAGAATTCCCAGATGCATATCTTGCTTAATCGGAACTGTGTGTTCCTTCTTTCAGCCAAGGCATCATGTGAACAGTTCCACTTGTGTTAATCGGCCTGATAAGTTGTACAATTCTTCCTCTGGACTGAAAAAAAACCAGCTTTTTCTAAACATTTTAGTGATTTGAAAAGCATGCATTGAACTTCTGCCTTAACTTAGATGTTCTTAATAAGCAAAATAAGGATCTCTACAGAGCTGTAGAGCAGAAGAATCCCCAGTTGTGTGCACTAAGCACAATGGGAAAGTCTGTGCACACACTTGGCCTCTCTAAAGTATCTTCAACAACATAATAATGACAAAATCATGAAAACTAGTAATACAAATATAAAGTAAATGCTACTGAAAGGCAAGTTTTATCTTTAGCCATCCTTAATACTGTCAGTAGTACCAAAGTTACTGGTAATTGTATCTTTTTCCTTTAACTGTCTACTTGACCAGTACAACTACCACCTTAGGACCTTTCTCTTAGCTAAGGAAACCCAGTGATCTCCAATACTTACTGATCTCCAATACTTACCACTGCTCCTTGTTTGACACAGTAACCAGCTTTGATAATAGCATTATCTGGGGGATGCTTAGCAGCAAAATAGGGAAGGTGACTTTGTGACCGCTTCAAATAATTCCTGTCAGCCCCTTCACTGCACTCACTGACTTCTTCTTTCTAGAAAAAAAAAAAAGCAGGAAAGTTCAGAATACTCTGGGTTTTTGAAGAGACAGAACTTCATCACTGTTAAAACCAACAATTCCACACACACAAGAATATTGTTTCAGCATGCTAACAGGTACGTGTGAGCAAAAAAAAAAATAAAAAATAAGTACCCAAGCAATCCTTAAAATCTTGTCTAAAGGGAATAAAATCCTCAAAGCCTCCCAGGCAGTATCAACAAAAGGTGGACACAGAAGTACAGGTCCTCTGAGGAAGGTTCTGACAACTTTATTGGGATACATAAGCTATTCTCACCTGTCAAACAACACATCATCTTCTATCAACTAATAACCCACTTGTTTGAAGGGTATTACCTGGGTGGGTGTGATGATAGGAACACCCCCAACAATTTCTGTCCTGTAAGAGACTTGTTTCTTTCCACCTGGGCTTTCAGCTTGACGATTTGCATTATCCATCTGACAGAGAGGATCAGACTGCTTTGGTACCTGAAAGGGCAATGTGATAATTAACACAGGTTTTATGAAGAGCTAAAAAAGCCCTAAGCATTACTCAACAATTTTGCACTTGTCTTCAGCAGGTTTTTAACAAATCTTCTCTAATTGTAAAAGGCTAGAAACAGCTTACACAAAAATTCGTTGCAATGACTAAGCTTTAGTGCTCAGAAATCTGGTGCCAATAAAAAGACATTTCACCAGATGAAATCAATTCCAAGCTTTGCCTTAAGTGCTACACCTGAGCTTCAAGCACTGCTAATTTGTAGAAGAACTGGTTCTTCATTTTTCACTTGCTTTCAGTTTTAGCAAGAAGTGCTTTAGGCTGGAGACATCCAAGTGCCTTTTGTGACACAGGATGTCTGACTAGTGTGACATTTGTACTCACGTGGCCTTGGCATGAAGACTGAACTGTCTTCATTAGTCCCACACACATTGCCAAATTCTGTCCAAAATGACCCTACCGACCCAACTATAATTAACTATTAAATAATTTTCTCAAATGTAGAAGTAAAGTCATTGAAACACCACAGGAATTTGATTTCCCCATAAAGTGTTTTGATCTAAAATGTTGACCCAAATTTCTGAGTTTGTGCAAGAAAAGAACTTCTTCAGCCTAAGAAATGCACTGACTACCTAAGACATTTTAATTTCTAACCTCCTTTCACCCCTAATATTAATATCACAGAATCATTTAGGTTGGAAATTATAGCAAATTTGAATTAACTTCAACAAGAAGAGATCAAGTCTCACACCCAAATATCCCAGCCAACAATTCCTACTGGGTATTTACACAAGACATCCAAACTCCTTCAAACAGAAGGGACACACAAATTGTCTTTACACAGTGAATTACCATCCGAGACTGTGGCACATTCAGAACTTGAAATTGAACTGATCTAGACAAAAACAAAGCTACTTTATAGTCTGCAGTGATTCTAGTCTCCATGCCCAGGACTGCTTATTCAAAAAAACAAAACAAAAAAAAAAAAAAAAAAACCACCAAAAAAAAAAAAAACCAGCCTGCAAAGAAGTACAAACAGTCCTGAGAGCACAAATGTCAGCCTAGGACAGTGTCCTCCTGGCCAAGTGACAGTGGCACTCAGCAGCTTGCTCAGCTGTGGTGTCAGGCTCATCCTCTCACTTCCAGCGTTCCCTTCACCAGTGACTCCTCAAGTGCCTGAAGTGAAGGGAGTGACTCCATTCTCAGCCAAGTCTGGCACTGAAGGACAAGGCACTCCCTGATCACGAGCCCCAGCCCTTCAGGAGAAAGGGCTTGTAGCTACAGCTTTATGGGGAAGTGCTTCAGCTGTCATAAAGTCCCACTTCAAATGCTGCAGATCGACCTCCTCACGTGAAGCATTTTCAAACAGTCCTTACCAATAGGTACACAATGTGCTGGGCTGCACAGGTTCACAGATTCCGAAATTATCAGCACTCAGGACTACTAAAACATGCAATGAATCTTGGAGGATTACACTCCACAGCAAGCAAGGCTCATATGAAAATTAATAATTGAATTAGCCCAATTATTTGATTAAATAATTGGTTGTACTCAGTAAGCTGTGAACAGATTAACAGCTCAAAGGCTTGTTCCTTCAAAGGCAAAACACTAATAATTTCACCAGCCATTTAAAATGCAAGTTAAGCATATGATAAACAGTGTTCAGAGTAAATTATAAATTGATGCCATTAATTATTTATTTATTCACTCGATTTCCTGTGCTGAAAACAACTCAAGCCTGGATGTGGTGTGTCCTGCTTATGAAAAACCCAAGTGGGAAGGCTTTGTGTTTCTGGTTTTTTTATTTACGACTAGTAGTAGCATGTTTATAACTTTGACACATTAAAACACTGCAAACAACTCAAGCAAACATCCTTAGATAATCTAAAAATGAGAAAGTTACTGACACCAGATATAAATGTGCAGCCATGCTCAGAACTTCTTTGTAAGGTTATGCTCTCACAACTGATCATTGTCATCACTTCCCCAAAACTGGAGAGAAATCAAAACCATAACTTCTGCCTCCTGAAAAGGCTGAGGTAACATGTGGGGCTTTTTCTGTCACGAGGTAACAGGTTGTCCTGGTGCAAACCAGGAAAGTAATTTGACATTTACCACAAGAACCATTAATGTTCCTTTGCATGGAAGTCACTTGAAATGAGGAGAAAGCCTTTGGACTTGGCATGATGTGTCTGCTGGGCATTTTAGTGATACTCTAAGAAATACCAACTTTTGACAGCAGGCAAAAGTATGTGTATCTTTTTGTTGCTTTCACACGTCTTCTGGATATTTCACTTAAGACTAAATGTGCACAGATAATGTAAAAATATTAGCATCCATCCAATGCTGTAACTAAAAAGATAATCACATTTTTGTCCAATTTCCAAGGCAGAAAGTAAAATAAACTCAAATTTATCAGTTTCTTGGAAAGCCAAGCCAAGAACTGCTTATAGAAAGAAAAACTAGAGGCAAAGGTTACATTTAAGCATCCCAAGACAGTCACCATTTGAAAGCATTTGCTAAATACTAACTCAGCCACTTACTGTGATTTTGGTAGCTTTGTTCAGAACATTTACCCATTCAACTAGGTCTTGCTGATCATTGGCTTGTAGAAAGTATTTTCTCATCCCTGCATTCATAACTGTTAAAAACCATGGCAAAAAGTTAACAACACTGAAATTTAAGAGCAAACTTAGCATCATCATGAAAACACTTGACTTCAGATGTAAAATCCAGTTAAAGCATCTGTTTTGCCACATTTCTTTTTAGCAAGTCACCTTAAGACACATGTATCCACTTGACAGGATTGCTGGGTTCTAAAAAGCAAAAATAAATTAAGCTCTCCACTTGAATAGCATCATACAGAACTTGTAAAATGATTTTTATTACATGGAAATGAGATCTTGAATTTTAACAACATTTTCTACAGCTCCATTTCCTTTTTCTCAATTTCCCTAAGCAACAAGTTTTACACTGAGGGACTTCTACTATTTCTCCTTTTAGCCCTCTGCCCAGAATCTGATACCCTTTGTGACAACCTTATTAATGTGACTATGATCACTGAGTTTTACTTTTTAATTTCTGGAAAAATCAGTATTGATTATTAGGTATATAATACTCAGGACCAAGCACTTTAAGACAGCCAGAACAGCAATCTTTATTTTACTTTTGTGACTTGGCAGAGAAACGTATTTTAGTAAGTTTATTATCTATCTGGCAACACCTACCATCCTTTATCCAAAAAGGACAAACATTTCAGTCTATCAGTAAAAAAATTCATGGCTACTTTGTTCACAAATTCTAAGAGCTTATCTAGAAATAGGTTTCAAGGTGAAGAGTGACTAAAACCCTCCCAAACTCTGAAGCATCACAGCTAAAGTCTGAACAGATTTTGCTGCTCTACCTATAACATAGCAGCTCTTCAGGTCACCACTAACACATGCCATAAAACAGATACTTCAGCTTTTCTATCATCTTTCTCCCCAAAGTGAATGGCTTGAAACAAACAAATATAAACTCAAATGCAAATATAAATTCGAAATACAGAACTGCACAATGAGTTGACTGAAACAACAACTCCTGGTATTTAACTAAGAAGACAATAAATATAATTTTTTCCTCTAAAAAGTATCAAACACACCTTAATAAATCAGAAATACTAAAAGCTTTCAGCCAGGAATTTGGGTAATTTTCAGAGCTGGGCACTTTACAACTGCTGAAGATAAACCCCTTCACACATGCATGTGCAGAAGGATCTGTAGATGGCACTGAGCTGCCACACCAGGTACTTGTTTAAAACCCTTACAGCCTTACATATGGGGAGAGTTACCAAGTGTTTGATGAGCTCCAACACAGACTGCACTAATCTGCTGGACTGGCCTCCCTGGGCCTGGTCCACACTGCCCGTGGCAAAGAAAACCTTAACCAACTGTCATGAAACCTTCAGGCACTTTCAGTACCTTCATGTGAGCTAAAACCCTGATGAGAATGCAGACAGAAACAATGACTATATATAACCAGAGCAGAGACTGATTCCTGTCTCTAATTGCACTTTCATGAATGCCAATTGCTTGTCAAAAAGATGGGGAATTACAGTTAATTCTGGACAAATGACTTATAAGAAAAAAGAAAATCTAAAAAAAAGACCATAAGGAGCTTTTATGATTATCTAAAGTTTTACCCAAGTTTAAATGCCAATACAACTAGAAGGTACCCCAAGCAAATTGCTTTTCTTCAGTGCAGCAACAGAGGCTGAAATATAACCTAAGAGCATTGGGTTTTAGATAAACTAGATCAACTCTTATCAGTAAAAAACAAGAATAAAACAGTAAAATTTCTTGTCTTCATAGCTGACAGGCATGTTTCTGAAACCATTCTTCATTAGCTTATCAATGCCTCAAGTGATTTCAGACACCTGAAAACAGCCCTCACCTACTCATCAAGCTGCGAAGAGGCACAAAAACACCTTACAAAGAAGCCAACACTTCCCCTCATACTACAGAAGAAATAGTGAATATAAGCTATTTTTTGAAGCTACTAACAAAACTGCAGAACATTATCTTTGTTTCAATCTCAGCAGAATGTACTTGACCCACACAACACATCAAAGAACTTACCAAAACAGAACTCTGCCTTTGGCCTTAGCTTAGTTGCATCGCTAACCTAGGAGGGAAATTAAGATTATGAATATCACTGTGCATACAAAATAGGCATCAGATACCACGATTTTTATTCTCTTTCAAGTGGCTAAATCCAAAGACTAGCAGCACAGCAAGGTGCTTGCGTATAAATATACACAAATAGAACAGAACATACTATATAAAATTCAGTTCAAGATGGCAAGTCTATGGTAAAACAGCTTAAGTCATATGTTCCTACTCCTTAAGTTTAAGGACTCGTTAACAGACATATCTTGAAATCTGACAACATAAGATTTTTTGCCTTTTGAAGTTCTGTGTCTCAACTGAACTAAAAATTCAAGGCTGTTTCATACCACCAAGGGCATCACCTGGATTTTGGTTCATTGACATATATAATAGTGGCCACTTTTCTCCAGGAGTCTCTAAAATGTCACAGTGTTGGAGGAGGAGGAAAGTGGGTGTCCTGTTTTGAGGGAGGTGTTGACATTTCTACACTATAGAGCACCTCTGTCAAAAGGTGGGGGAGAAGGCAAAGCAGCCTCTAACTTTTCTTTTGGCCAGAAACAAACCCCACGTACAACGTAAGTAGAATAACTCTGGCAAGTTAAACAGCATGCAGAGGAGGCACAGAGCTGCCTTCAAAAGGTGCTCACCTGTGCAAAGGCACAGGTGAGCACCCCTGATCCTGTCAGAAGTGAGACAGGAGGCTTCACATTCTTAAGATGACAGTGTAAGGTTTGGGGCAAAGTAAGCACAGGAGGAGGAAACCAGGAAGGACGTAAGACTTTTCTCTACTCATGATATAACCAGCAACAATGACACATTCTACAAGAATTAAACCAACCCAAACAACCCCCAAAAAACCCCAGGTAAGGTGGGGAGATGCAGTATGACAACAAGAAATAAAAAAAAGGGTGAGAAATGAGCAGAAAGCCAAGAAAAGGTCAATTATTTTTCTCCATTTATTTGGTAATGGCAGTATCTGCTACAAATTTAACCACAGAGACTTTCTTAGTTCACACTTCTCTTTCAGAAATATTTGGAAGTGAGAGCACACAGAGTGTAATAAACTAAATATTCTGGAGAAATTTTTCTGTTCTAGCTATTAAAGATCATTATTATTTGCAAACTATCACACCCAAAGACTTCTCTTCCACTCCATAAATGGCCTGTCTTTTCTCCAATGCTAATTGGAATCCAAATAGTCATAAAGAATTGAAATATACTGTTCAAAAGTATTAATTCCACGCAGCACAAAGAGTTGCCACTTGGCTTCACTAAACAAACTTAGACATGTAATTAATCTGTTTTTACTTAAATCTGAACCTATTGAAGTGTTTATAGCACAGAACCAAAAGTACTAGATAAGTGGCATTTAAGTTTGTCTGAAATTGAGGCCCTTGGTAGTTACCACCAAAAATCTACAGATACTTGGTGCTACATATTATCTTACCTTTGAAATATAGGTAAGTTTAATGACCCCAACAGGTGGAGATCCAGAGGGAAGATTCTGAAACAAATCACATACGTTACAAAGTGAAACTAGTTTATTCTCAGTCAGTGTTTATGCACAAAAAGCACATAACTCCCCAAACAAAAAGAAAACCCTACGTGTTTTTATAGACAATGCACAATGTATGCTTGAAACAGGATCTCAACCACTTGTTTATTATACACACATCTGTTAATCAACTAAAAACAGAAAGACTGCTAGAAACAATACAAATAGTAATTGTTTCAGAAGTTTATGTATTTTAGTAGAGGAAAAAGGATTCTTGTGGGTCTGCATCCAGGAAATCCGGAGAGAATACTTTTTCCTTAACAGATGTTGGACTCTCATGTATATTCTGACCACGGCAGGAGGAAGGGACAAGAAGTGACATTCGTCTATTACGTCAGACACTTCAAAGACCATCTCACATATTTTCCAGTCACTTTAGGGATTAAGAATGGTCTTCACAGAGTGATTCTATAAAAACTCTGCTGTTCTTCAAAGCTAAAGCAGTGGAAGAAAAGAAAAAAAAAATAAAAAAAATCAAGAAGCTTCAAATTGCCCTTTGCAAGAAGTTTTGAAGGCTAACATTGAAAAAAAAAAAAAAAAGGTCTAAACTAGGCCTAGGTGTGCACTCAAATATCATTAAGTCTTCAGACTTCTGAGGAATTGCAATTTCTACAGCATTTCAAGCTTTTGTCCACATGCCCTGGTTATGTCACTGAAGAAACTGAAAAAAAAAAGAATAGCTTTGTGTCACTCCTCAAGATCAAATGTTTGAAGTTCCTCTTATTTCCAGAAATTTTCTTTTTCCTCCTCGGTGAGAACTCCTAAATGCTTCAGTCACAAGTCACATCCATCGAGCTGCACAACATCTACTTTTTTTTTTTTTGTGGTTCCTTTGAACAGCAGAATTCTGCACTTTAACTCTGCTCTTCCTGGCAGAACGGTACAGGGATATTCCTCTGGCAGGCAGCTGTCAGCTGACCTGGATCCTAAGTTCTCACTACCTCTGTACCCAAACCTTCAGCAATTATCTGTCCTTCCCTATGCTAGAAAACACACAGATGCATGTGCACAGTAAAAGTAGCTTTATCTAAAGGATGCTCTCCATCATGATGGACACACTCTGCTCTTCCTGGCAGAACGGTACAGGGATATTCCTCTGGCAGGCAGCTGTCAGCTGACCTGGATCCTAAGTTCTCACTACCTCTGTACCCAAACCTTCAGCAATTATCTGTCCTTCCCTATGCTAGAAAACACACAGATGCATGTGCACAGTAAAAGTAGCTTTATCTAAAGGATGCTCTCCATCATGATGGACACAAGCTTTCCCATACAGCATT